TATGACTTTTATATATATATATATATATATATATATATATATATATATATATATATATATTTCGCCCGAAAAGGAAACCACTTAAATAGTGGGGTAAGGTTCGGATAACCCTTACCAAGTAGATTAAAGAAAGGAATGTACAATGATCGGTTTAGGCCAACCCGACAACAAAAGCCCAAGGTAGTGAAAAAGAGAAAGCCTCAAAAAGTAAAAAAAACATAGCCAAATGAAACGACTAAGCTCTATCTTCTTCCTAACTGTGAATTCTGCGCTGCTCTATCAACGGCAAATCCTGCTCAATCATCTGGAGAGGTAAGGTTTAAGATTAAGTGCTTGAATATCCGCGCTTGTGGCAATCTTTTGCACCTTTTTGTTTGACCAGTACCAGTGTTGTACTAATTTTTGTATGTCTATGATAATACCCACATTAGTTATGCTGTTATCATCATGAATACAGCAATTGTAAGCCTTCCAAAGATTCCAAATAATGCAACCTGGTAGTATGAGCTTAAGGAGACCTCTAATTGTTGATTTGTTATGATTCACCCACCATTGTAGCATATAGGTGTTAAGGTCAGTACCTTGATTCCAAATTATTTGGGAAACACTACAAGTGAGGAGGATGTGTTGATCCGTAGCTTCTTCCCTAGCACAGAAGGGACATTTGCTAGGCAGGTTGTAAGAAAGTTTCATAAGGATGTTAGGAAAAGGTAGATAGTGATTTATAGCTTTCCAGGTGAAAAGCTTGATTTCCAGGTGAAAAGCTTGATATATATATATATATATATATATATATATATATATATATATATATATATATATATTTGTCTGGGCCACACACCACAACTTTTTATCTATTGTTACTGCATATTGGAGTGATAGCCCAAGGACGGGAGGCATGACAGGACTAGCTATGAAACTTAAGGGTCTTAAATCTGTTCTTTCAAGTTGGAACAAATTACACTTTGGCAATATATTTCAAGAGGTAAAAGATAATGAAATCAAAGCTGGTAAGGCTCAAGAAGATTTTGAAAATGATCCTAGTGAAGAGAAGAGGACAGCTGCTAATCTAGCCTCTGCAAATCTTATTGTTAGTCTCAATAGGGAAGTTAACTACTGGAAGCAAAAGGCTAACATTAAGTGGATGTCAGAAGGGGATTGTAATTCTAAGTTCTTCTACTCTTTTGTTAAACACAAAAGGAGTAAACTCTCTATTCGATCCATTCAAGATGTAGATGGAAAACATCTCTCCTCTCAGGAGGATATTTGCAGGGAGGCAATCAGATACTTTTCAGAGTGTTACACCACTGTTAACCACACAGATGCTACTATTATCTCCAATTTTATTCCCAAAGTTATTAGTGAACTGGACAATCAGATGCTTTGCTCCATACCTACAGAACCTGAGATCTTTAAAGCTGTCTGGGACCTTAACCCAGATAGTGCAGCAGGTCCTGATGGTTGTAATGGCTATTTTTTCAGAACATGTTGGCATATTATCAAGAAGGATGTAATGCTAGCATGTCAAGAGTTTTTCCTGGGATTTTCTGTTCCTAAGTCCTTTGGTAGCACTTTCATTACTTTGATTCCTAAAGTTGATGACCCAAAAAGTTTTGGGGATTATAGACCTATTTCCCTCTCTACTTTTATGAGTAAAATTAACACCAAGATCCTGGCCACTAGATTTGCTATCCTACTGCCTAAATTCATCTCTGAAGAACAAACTGGATTCCAAAAGAATAAGGGAGTTCAAGAACAAATCTTAATGGCACAGGAAATGATCCATATGATTGATAAGGAGGTCAGGGGAGATAATTGCATTATCAAATTAGATATGGCCAAAGCCTTTGATAGAGTGGAATGGAGCTATCTTAAGAATATTCTAAGTCTATTGGGATTTAATGATTTCTCTCAAAAGCTTCTTATGGCCAACTTGGTGGGATCACATCTATCCATTTTGGTCAATGGGACTCCAGCTGGTTTCTTCCAGATGAAGAGGGGAGTGAAGCAAGGTGACCCTCTCTCCCCTATACTTTTTCTGATCAGCAGTGAAGGTTTCTCAAGAATGATCAACTTCCATATGAGTAACAACCTTCTGCGAAGCTTCAACACTGGTAATCATCCTTTGGTCAGTCATTTAGCTTTTGCAGATGACATTGTTGTTTTTGTGAATGGTGACTCTAGAAATCTTACTAAATTCATGAGGATCCTAGAGGACTATCAGAAAGGACCTGGACAACAGGTTAGCATCAACAAGAGCTGCTATTACACTGGGAAAACAGTCAATGACATCAAGCTAGCCACTATGACAGAGTCCTTGGGTATGGGTCATGGGACTCTCCCATTCAATTATCTTGGAGCAACTATGATCAAAGGAAAGCTCAAGAAACAGCATTGCTCCAAACTGTTGGGTCATTTTGACAAATACTTGAATTCTTGGTTCAGCACAACATTAAATCCTATGGGGAGGCTAGTTCTTATCAAACATGTTCTATCCTCTATCCCCCTTCATATCATTGCAGTCCATTGTCTTCCCCAAGCTATCATTAAAAGCCTCCACATGAAAATGGCAAACTTCTTATGGGGATTCAAGAATGGTAAACCTAAATACCATTGGAGACAGTGGAATAGCATTTGTGTTCCAACTGAAGAAGGGGGGCTAGGTCTGCGAAGTCTGGAAGATATCCAAAACGCTTACTCTATTAAACTGTGGTGGAAAGTGCAAACAGACACTACAAAATGGGCCAAGTTTATGAGAGCCAAATACTTTAAACACAAGGAATTTAGAGAAAAACTTTATGACTCGCCTATTTGGAAAAGAATTTGCAGAATTCACATCATTGCCTCAAAAAATACCATTCATTATGGTGATCAGATTGCTTGGATAGATGGACAGTTCACTCTTAGAAAGGCTTATCAAATTTGTAGAAAAGCCAAACCAACTCAAATCAACTACACCTACTGCTGGAATAAAGAGCAAATCCCCAAAATCAAATTCTTCCTTTGGAGAGTTATCAGTTCACTACTGCCTTTTCCAGAAAATCTTAGGACAATGGGGGTTCAACTTGCCTCTGTTTGCCCTCTATGTATGACTAAAGAAGAATCTAAAGACCATGTCTTATTCCAGTGTCAATGGAGCATGGGCCTGTGGAATTTCTTTGCAGGGGCTGTTGATGGACCAATACCTAGAAGTCACCTAAATCTAAATCAACATCTATTGGAATGGAACCTATCACACCGAAGGAAAAATCTCAAAGGGCAATTGAGAGGTATTCTCCCAGGGATAATTGCCTGGCATATCTGGAAAGAATACAACAGAATACTTTATGATTCTGCCTCTCCAAACATTGCTAAGGTAAAAAAGGGAATTCTTGAAACTCTCAGAGATTGGAGTTCGAAGAAGAGAAGGAAAAAGTGGATGATTATGGATAACAATCTCACAAACCTGGGCTTTAACCTCTTCTTTCTGACTGGGAAGGAGATTCATGGCGGAAGGGCTTTCTCTCAGCGACCGGTTGAATTGTAGAACTTGGTGGACGGTTCCTTCAGGTGGCGGGTAGGGAGGTAAAAGAGATCTGCTATCTGTGTTTTATTTTGACTTTCTTGCTTTTGTCATTCTCCTTCTCCCTTGTTTGTATTACTTTCCAGGGCTTCGGTCTAGTCCTCCCCCAACCTGTTATACTGGCTCTTTCTAATAAACATGGTAAGGGTGGCCTGGATCTTACCCCACTGATTTTGGTGGTCTTTTTCGGGTTATATATATATATATATATATATATATATATATATATATATATATATATATATATATATATATATATATATATATATAATTTTTAAAAAAAGTTTAAACCACCGGTTCGACCAGTTGTACCACTGGTTCGACCAGTAAACCAGTGAACCAGTACCGAAACCGGTTCGGTCACCGGTCCGGTACTGAAAACTATGAGAACAAGTACTCATTTCTTTTTTTTGTCTATTTTTTATTTTCCCCTTTTTTCCTTTAGTTGTTTCTTTTATTAATCATCTTTTTTTAAATTTCTTTTTAAAATTATTTTTATAATGTTTTTAAAATTTAGAATTATATTTGTTTGAAAAAAACAATTACTGCGTAACATTTGCATCTGTACGTCACAGAATAATAGTTTTTATTTTTTATTTCCAAAAATAAAAAATTAAAACCTTTTTTGAGAACATCAAAAAATGTGGAATAAAATAAGAAATAAATAAAATAAAAAATAAAAATGAATATCTTTTTGAGACATCCCAATTCAAAATACTTTCTAGGTACTCTGAAAATTCCTTTTTGTATTAGTCTTTTTTTGCATGTTTCAATTTTTTTTATTTATCTTTTCCATATTTTTATTTTTGTTTTTTATTCAATATTTTCTTTTTTAACTTATCAAAAACATTATTCTAGAAAATAAAAAGTGAACGATTAATTTCAGAAAGAGTACATATTAATTTTCTATTTTTATTTTCATTTGAAACACAGAGTTTTCAATTTCTAAAACATTATAAATATTGGGAAAAAAACTAAAATAAAATTCTAGGAAAGGAAACAAAGAGATATAAAAGAGTTTTAGAAAAAGGGAAAAACACCAAATAACAAACAAAAAATAAGAAATTAACATGAAGACCCTCTATAGTTTAGAAAACAATGTCCCTCTTCATTGAAAAATAACCGGAAAATGATCAAAAAAGAAGTGAGTAGAACATTTTAAGATCACATGGGCTTTAAAAATAAATTTTGAAAAGAAATGGAGTGAACATTTCTGACTTTTTCTCCTCAATCCATATACTCTAATATTTTACTTCACAACAACTTTCTTAAATTTTGCAAAAGTCAAACCAAAAATTTCTCTGGGAGATGAAAAGAGCATAAAATAAGGAATGTATATTGGAATCGGCTGTTTTCATGAACAAAAATTCACAATAACATGAATTTATAGGCGTTACGGAGTACTTATAACTTTGTATATTAACAAGTTTTCACACAACTAACATCATGTCCTATATTTCTCAAGAACAAGAAACAGTTTTGACTACTTGCCTCTTAAGCTCAAAGGCAGTTTCTATTTTCCAAATAGAATTGAAGTTGTGGACAACAAGGAAACATAGATCTTTTATCACAGCTTGCATAATTGAAGATCTTTTATAAAATCCTTCAATAGACATAATTATCAATATAATAACACATGTTCCCCTTGAAGTAATGACCTGCCATACATTGAACAATCCCTCTCCTAGAGGAAAGCATGACATATCTTTTACACAAATTTATAGCATGTTGGAGTCAACAACCGCAATTTCAAAATTTTCAAGAGAAATTGTGTGATAGGGTTGAAATATATGAGCAACAGTAAATCTAGAACGCGATTGCGGGTAAGTCTGCAAACGCATCATATGCTTTCTTCAATAACACAAATGATGGTAAGTCTGCAAACACATCAAGTGGTTTGTGAGGCCTGATTCAGAAGAACATGCCATAAAAAATGTAAGATGTGAGAAATTGGTTGCCTTTAAGATATTTGTAGTTACCAGCAGTATGCTAAACATGTGGGATTGGCACATAAAACCATAAAGAGGAAGGAATCAGTTTTCAACTGTGCAGTAGGGAGAGATAAGAAGCATACAAAAAATAAAATGCCAGTTTTTATTATTCACCATTTCTATGAAAAAGCAGAATAAATAAGATGTCAATTTTAGCATTACAGGGACATCACCACTATAAATTCATTTGGTAAAGTGATGAACTGATGATAAGCTATTGGAATGCTTAATAGAGTATCATGTAGGGGAAGCAATAATATTATGGAGTAGATATCTTATTAGTGGGTCAGTGAAAATTATGATCAATTAGCAGGATAGAAACATGGATTAATAATACTCTGTTATCTAAAAAATAAGGAAAATTAGCAACTACTCCCTCCGTCCCCCAGTTTTGTCCACTTTTGACTTTTGGAACTGTTCATCAAAGGACTTTGACTCATCAAATTCTCTCAATGTGTAAACCTAAATATAGTCATGTGTGATCTTGTTTGATTTGTCTTAACATATAGACTATTAATATATAATTTCTATAATTTTTTAATATACAAATTACAAGATAAAATGGATTAAAGTGCATTAGATGGTGTGTAAAAATGAAAGTGGACAAATACTCAGGGACGGAGGGAGTAGCAAGTATATGAAGCTACCAGCTGCACTGTCCATAGATTCATGAATATTAACAAGTTTCTGGGTTCAAGTTTGCATACTTGAACATAGTTCATAATAATAATAAATTGTATTGAAAAGAAAATGGGTACCTGTAAGAACGCCACATAGCCTAATAAATTTCATCATCAGGGATTTCGGGATTAAGAAAACTCTTTGGATCTTTAGCAATTTCACTGCATCTAAGTGTAGCTATAACCCGATCAGGGACGGGTTCAAGTGGTATAATGCTCTCTCTATCGATAACTCCATCAATTATGCCATACTCCACTGCTTCAATGGGAGACATGTAGCGATCTCTATCAATATCTTTCTCAACTTGTTCCAATGATCGGCCAGTGAAATTGGATATTATTCTTATCACATTTTGTTTGTTATTCGTGATCTCTCGGGCCTGAATATCTACATCAATTGCATTCCCACTTGCACCCCCAAGTGGTTGATGTATCATTATTCGAGTATTAGGCATTGCATAACGCTTCCCTTTTGTGCCAGCACCAAGTATTAAAGAAGCCGTTGAAGCAGAAATGCCAAGGGCAACTGTTGATACATCAGCTCTTACCAGCTGGACAACATCCAAAATAGCCATTGTGGCGCTGAAAAGAACAAATACATTATTAAGAATATATATCACGGTGTATTTAAGGACAAAAAAATGTGCACATAAATGCAAGCTTATAGATTTTTTATTTAAAAAAACTGAAAAGTAGAGTTCAAACTATGGGAATCAGGTAGAGTCATGGTTAATAATCTTGGAAGCAAAAATAATTAGTACCAAGTGTTCATAGCAGTATGACCCATATCTCATTACTCTGTTAAGAAGGTTGAGACAGAGAGGAGTTGAGGGCAAAATGATCAGAACCTTGCTGATTCATGTTCATGAATGTACAAATGGTTTTTTTATCTTGGGTTGGGTTTTCTTGTGGAGAACGGTGTTGGTTGGGTTGTGTAGCATAGAAATGGGGCTAAAGATGCTGGGCAGCAGATGAATGTGGTTAAGAATGCTGGACATTTTCTCTTTTGATTCTCATCACCTTGGTCTTTGAGCCAAAAAAAAAAGAATCTGGACAAATACTTTGTGTGATGGAAAGAGTATAACACTAGCAATCATGTCAACTATTGTTGTGACTCTGTATTGTGACATTAACCATGCATCTAGAGATGATCCATTGTGATGACAGTTAAAATTTTTACCTCATTAAGTTGTGACAGGAAGAGCGTACAACATAAAGCATTGCTAATACGCATTCCCAAATGAATTTATGTGTTAGTAATTTTATCCTACAATTAAACAGCACTATTAGTTTAATGTCACCATCCACCGATGACCGACCCCAACAGATTAGGGTTAAGAAGCTAATAATGATTATGACAAAGACTGCAAATGACATGACACTGGTCCCAGAATAGTTGGGAAATTGGGCTGATGATGATGATAATACAATGCATCTTCTATTTTGAGCGTCTATAACAGCTCTTGAATCTACCCAAATTGATGTTTAGCATACCTTCCACCATGGCCGATTTAAAAAAATCAGTGCCTTAAGATATCTTTCTGAAATCCTGTACCAATTTAATTTTTCACAAACTCTTACTGCTCCCTCGATTCCTATTTGATCTTCCCATTTGCTTTTTACACCGAGTTTAAGACATGTAAAATAGTGTGGTTGAAACTTTTGTAGAGGAGAGAAAATTGATCTGAATTATGCAGTTCTTTAAAAGAAAATGTGAAGATTAATTAGGGACATCCAACAAAAGAAAGTGGAAAGATAAAAAGGGACAGATGGAGTGATTTATTACAGGGTAAAATTTGATTCATCCTTCCTACTTTTATATTCTTAATGCTTTGTGACACAATGCTGCTAAAATATTTTTCATACTTTATAGCTTGACATGCACATAAAATACACTTGAAGTACTCAAATTTTTATTGTGGGACTGCCATAATTTCATTAGAAGAAACATACAAAATGAAAATAGATGACAATAGCTCAGAATCTCGAATAATGTTATGTACTGCCATTACTAACATTCATGTTTATTAATATCATTCCTCGATACTACCCCCATCCCTTATTTAAAGTCCCATATGGGATTTCAGAGAGTTTAAGGTGATAGGTGTGTGGTTGATATTTATGCACATGAGAACAAAATATCATGGACCACACAGCTATTCTTAAGAAGGAATTGAAAAGTTAATTTTGGAACGTGAGAAGGGAAAGTGAGAATGAAATTCAAGGATGGAGTATAAGATGTGATGAGGACGGAGAAGGTAAGTTTCTCATTTGAACTTCATTTACCTCATTTAGGAGAAGAGATTTCGTGAGATAACACTGCTTAGGCTGAGCCATTACCTCGAAAGCCTCATATTTTGTCTACTCCAAATTGGCAAGACGAAGAAAGAGATCACATTTTAGTCATGAAGTCGAATTTGCTCATTTTTTCTTATGCCTAGTATGTTACTCCCCCTTCTCATAAAAAGAGTCAAATTTATTGGCATGCATTTGTCCCAAGAAACAATCCTATTTAATGAAAACTAGTCAAATTTCATGTTTTATAAGTACCAAAGAAGGCAATCACATTTGTGTCATGAAGTCAGATTTGCTCATGTTCCCCCTTTACTAAAATTGAAAAGTACCTTGATGAAACCAACCTCTTTTTATAGGATGGAGGGGCTCAAGGGAGTATGATTTACCACATGCGCATTAAGCTAATATGTATAAATACCAGCTTCATTTACCCTAGAAGAAACCGAACAACTTTTTATGAAACAATATCTACCTAAACCTAACTTAAGTTAACTACTCACATTCATTTAACTATGTTAATTGACCTTAATCTACCTCCTCCCCTGGACATACCCATAGTTCTCACATGAAGAAGATGAATCCCATAAATTCATTCAAATGAGTTGAAAACCTTCATCGCAAATTACCCAAATGGATAATAACACATTTTCCAAAATGGCAGATTTCAAAAGTCAGTACCTAATGAGGCCCCCTCTGAAATCTGCACCAATTCAAAATTTCAAATCGTCACGAACTCTTACACTATGTTTGGTTCAAGGAATTTGTTAGGAAAAGAAAAGAAAATGGTTTCTCCTCATTTTCCTTGCCAAAATGGGAGGAATTTGGTTTTCGGTCCTCTTAGTACATTTTGCCTTCTCTTTTTTTTTCTTCCATTTTTCTTTTCTTTTCCTCACTAACCAAACAAACAAGAAAAATGTTTTCTTTCTCATTTTCTTTTCTTTCCCTCTCAAATTCCTTGAACCAAACATAGTGTTAAGAATTTTTAGGAAGTACAAATCATCGTACTCTCATTCCATCGTTTCTCACATTAAGAAGATGACTCCCGTAAATTCATTCAAATCAGCTGAAAACCTTCATATATAAAATCAAAAGGTAAGAACTTCAAATATCTTCAGAGGAAAGGATATACCTTAGAGAACCACCGGGGCAATTTATGAAGAGCCTAATATCTTTAGCGGGATCCTGAGAATCTAACAGAAGCAACTGGCTCATGACAGCTTCAGCAACGAAGTCGTCTATTTCGTTCCCCAAGAAGACGATCCTCTCCTTAAACAGTAAACCTAAGGCGTCTCCATCGCCTCCACGCATGGGCGGCATTCTCGGGGCCGATGCGAGATGAACAGAGAGCGGCCTGCCGCCATGAGATTGAAAGTCTGAGAGGGGTATCGGGGCCGTGGGAGAGTGAGAATCGATAACGCATTTGAGAGAGAAGGGCGGGGACTTGAGAGGTTGGTGGCGGAGCAGGCCGTGCCGGCGGCGGCGGAAATGGGTAGAGAGAGATGCGCGGTGGAGATAGAGAGGCGCTGAGAGTACAGCGAGAGAGTCCATTGCCAATTAGGGGAGGAGAGAGAGCTTTCCTTTTTCTGTTTAACACTGGGCCATAACGTTACCCATTCAGGCCCAGAAGAAAATGGTTTACGTTGGCCATTGTGGATAGGAAAATATTGGCCAATCAGCCTACTGTGCACGGCCCCAACCATCAACTAGGCCCAACTAGGATCCATTTGAGTATGAGTATGTAATCTTGATATTTTTCTTTAGAACTTGATTGCTTACACTATGTTTGGTTCAAGGAATTTGAAAAGGAAAAGAAAAGAAAATAAGGTGGAAATTAGTTTTTCTTGTTTGGTTAGAGGGGAAAAGAAAGAAAAAGTGAAAGGAAAAAAAAATGAGAAAGACAAAATGTACCAAAAGGAGACACTACAAGAATTAGACGGAATTGTAACAGCAATTTCTGTTGCAATTTTTGTACTATTCCGTTGCTGATGATGATTGCAACAGAGTTTCCGTTGCACATTTACCGTTGCAAAAACCATTATTCCTCCCATTTTGGTGAGGAAAATGAGAGAAAATCATTTTCTTTTCTTTTTCACCCAAATTCTTTGAACCAAACATAGTGAGTTGCATGACTTCACTATGTATTTTCGATCCTTGTTTGTCATCTATGTAATTTGAAAATCATGCTTAAAATCCGATCGGACCATCCGATTTGTACCGAGAACCGGCGGCAAAACTGGTCTGGTCCAAGCTCAAAGACCATGATGTGCAACGAACCTATAAAAATAGACTGGTTTAACTTGTGATTTTTTTGGGAATAAATTCCATAAATGATTCCCTAGTTATATGTCATTTTACATATTTAATCTCTACATATAAAAAAATATTACTAATTTAATTCCCAATTATTATATTCATTTCCACGAATGGTCCTTTGTTAACATTTCTGTTAAGAACGTGAATAAAATTGTAAATTTACACTCCTTTCCCTCCACTCGCACTTCTTTCCCAAACCCATCACTGAGTTAGAAGCTTTGAATCCAAAATCGAAATCATCACTCTTCTCTCCGAAATCATCACTCTTTTCTCAATTATTTATCTAACTGGTGGAACCCAAATTCGAAACCAGTAAACTTCATGGATGAGTTTCAATGTTTATTTTCTTTGCAATTTCTTGAGACTAAACGATAAAACTCATCCATCAAACTTATTGGTTTTAATTTTAGGTTCTACCAGAAAAACTAATAATTGAGAGAGAAATGATCATTTCAGTTTTGGGTTTAAAACTTCAAATTAAGCGACGAGTTTGGGAAAGAGTACGAGAGGAGGGAGGAAGCTTAATTGAGGAAAGAGAAACGTATAAATATACAATTTTATCCATGTTCTTAACAAAAACGTTAACAAAGGATCATTCGTGAAAAATGATACAATAATTGGAGACTAAATTAGTAATATTTGATATGTAGGGACTAAATATGTAAAACGCCCTATAGCCAGGGACCTTTTATGGAATTTACTCTTTTTTGCACAATTTTCTCAAAAAGTTTTAACAAAATTAGGTTTTGAACACAAGACTTAGCCACCTTTTTGTTACGCTATCCACCGTCCAAGCTAGAGTATTTTATGTTAAATAATGGCTTAAATTACTTATAAGCTACTCCCTCCGTCCGGAAAAGAAGTTTACATTTATCCTTTTTCTCCGTTCGAAAATAAAGTTTACATTTCTAATTTTAATCCACACTCTTCCAAAAATACCCTTCTCTACCTTTCTTTCTCTTCTTTTTTTCCTTATTTCTCCTTTCTCTTCTCCGCCACTCTTCTCTTTTTATCCTCATTCTTTCTTTATCCTCACTCTTTCTTCCAGCGCCTCCTTTTTCTCTTCTTCTCCGCCACTCTTGTCTTCTTCTCCGCCACTCTCCTTCCAGCGCCTCTTTTTTTTCTTTTCTTCTTTTCTCCTTTTTCTTAGTGTAGATCTAATTTCTTCTTCTTTCTCATCCTCCTTCTCCATCTTTCTTCTAGATCTAAACATATCTGCAATCACAGAGATGAGAGATGACGGCGATTAAGGTGCTAGTGGTGATGGAGAGCTGGCGGAGATGGTGGGATTGACAGCGGTGGTAGGGTTGGGGGTTGTGATAGGGGATGGAGGCGATTGGGGGCAGGCGCTTGGGGTGACGGGAGTGCTCGCAGAGGTATGGTTGTTGCTGCGGCTACGGCGTCGGGGGCTGTTCTTGCGGCGGTGACAGAGTGTTCTTGCTGTTGCGACTGTGCTGTTAGAATCCGATATGGTTAAACGACATTAGATCTAGCTAATGCATTTGCTATTGCTCAAATGCCCTGAACATCCAGCCCACACCCTCCTCTCTTTTTCTCTCCCTTCTTTTTTTCATTAAGGTATTTTGGTCATTTTACAGGGTTAGTCAACCTCCCTTAAAAATGACCAAAGGTCAAAACGTAAACTTTAATACCGGACGGAGGGAGTATTTATTACAAAACAGAAAAAATAAGCAGGTTTTTATCTATTTATTTTTAATTCTTTTTTTTCATTTTTTTGTTCTGACCAAATTACTTACAAAACTATCCCTCTTATATTATTAATACTCTCAAATGACTTATATATCTTTTAAATCATTTTATCTGCATATTTTTTTTAAAAACTTATACTCTATCCGTCTTAATTTTGATTACAATTTTTTCTACCTCCAGTCAATAACTTTTCTTTATGCGTGTATTTTCATTGATTATTTGATAAAATAAAATATTTTTGTCATCTCTTGTTTTATAGAATTTTTGACATAAATTTAATGCATGGTTTTTGTTTCCTATCAACTAGACTCGTGCCCGTGCGTTGCACGGCCTAATTACAAACTATATAATTAAGAAAATTATTGATGAAAGAAAATGATAAAATTAAATTACAATAATAACATATAATCAAATAATAAAGACACGAACGGGTCGTAGCATAAGCATCCAAGTGGTTCGATAATTGTTAATCTCGGCAAGCGCATTTCACATACTCTTTAAATGTTTTGAGACATTTTTTTGAAAGTAGGGCGAATTAGGATGAGAAGTATGAAATGTTTAGATTATAAATAGTACATATAATTCGACAATCAATCTACTCATTAAATATCTTGATTTAGTGAATCTATTTCTTTAATATGATTTGACATAAAGTATGCATTGAGTCACGCATCAATTTTACTACGCACGCGGTTTCAAAGCAATACAACATCTATTTATTTATTTTGAGTTGACATAAAGTTTACATCGAACCAAGCACCAATATCAATACATGCGCGGTTCCATACTAATACACTACACATTTATTTATTTTGATTTGACATAACGTATGCATGGAGTCACGCACCAACTTTATTACGCACGTGTTTCTATAGCAGTACACTACTCATTTATTTATTTTGATTTGATATAAAATTTGCATCGAGCCACGTACAACCATTACTACACACTCAGTTCCATATCAATATATTACCTATTTATCAATATAACTACGCACGCGGTTCCATATTAATACACTGCCATTTATTTATTTCGATTTGACATAAAGTTTGGAAAATTAAGTTATTAATCTATCCATTAAATGCTTGAAAATAGGAAATGTATAAATAAAATGGATTTGACATAAAGCACATTGGGCAATGAGAGAAATTTGACACTACTTTTACTTTATGGAGAAATGCACCCATGATTTGACCTGAAGATGTCCAAGCTAGCAACGGCGTCAGTCAGCCCACTTGGCCCGGTCCATACCCGAACTCACTACCCGTCAATCTGTCCACTTGACCCGGTCCATACCCGAACTCACTACACAATGATTTTAGCGGGAACACTGTTCCCAAAACCATTCTAGCATTGTATATAGTAGGAAGTAGGATAGGATAGGATATTTAGAATTTAATAATAAAAAAGCATAGTTTCTAAGCGTATCTAACTCTATAAATTTAGATTTTAATAATTAAAAACTAACATTATGAAAATAAAAATAGGCATACAAACTTGGAGCATACAATGTTTAACTTAAAAACTAATACTCCGTAATAATCAATAGTGGTATGAATTTGGATTTTCATTAGCAAAAATAAATATTCTTCATAATGACAATAGGCATTCGAATACTTAACAACCTTGAATTACATCCGAAAAGCATGCTGGAAACAATGTTGGAAACGTTTTCAAAATGTTCCAACTTAATACTATCTTACATAACATAATTGTCTATATTTAGTCTAAAGATCAGAACATAATATTTAAAAACTTAACCAAGAACATAAAAATCGTTGAAATATTTCTTTTTTGGAATTTTCACTCGTTTAGATCGTCGGTGTAACGGTTGTGTCATTAAGGGTGTTGTGAGTCTCGAACAATCATCACAAACAAAAAACAGTCCTCATCCAAAGTCACCAATTCGTAAGCACGATAAATGACCACGTACGTTAAAGCATTTCCAGCCATCTTCCATAAATTCAGAGTCTCGATTATTCTTGCACTTGTAACATCGACTCAATCAACTTCCAATTTCTGTTTTAATTTTGCAATAAATACAATAACTTAAAGAATATAAAAATGTAATTTTTGTAATATTATTTTATACAAATATTTTTTTCAATTTTCTTAATTTTCTTATTACAAACCAAGTCTAAAAAAAGAAGTTTAGCCCAAAAATTTTGGCAAGACCATAGCCCAGTCCATAAGGTCAATCTAGCCCATTTTTAGCCCAGTTTAAAGATATAATCGGTAAAACCTATCTTCTGGCCGTCATTCACGACCACAGGTTCATTCGCCGCCTCCACCGATCTTTCTCTCTATCCTTTACCTTCTTCGCTTTCTTCGATGTGCAATCGCAGCCGATGGATTACTCCAGAGAGTGAGAGAGAGAGAAACATGGAGAGTAAGAAAGGAAAATAGTGGGATAGATTGATAGGATGTTATTTGAAAAAGAGAGATAGAGAGTTTGGAGAGAGCTTCGAGAGATCGGTAGATAGAGAGACGGAGTACATCATCGGTGGGATATCATCGCTGCAATCGCCGGTATTATTATATAATTTTTCATAGGAATTTCTCTTTTCAGAGTTCATACTCCCATTTAATCAATTATTCGAATTTATCTTAGATCAGTTGATTTTTATAATTGTTCAAAATTTTAAAAATACTTTTTAATTGTCATGAATCATGAAATTTTTCGTGATCTGTTTTTAAACAACCATGCATGTTCATTAAGACTTCGAATTATAATAAGGATATAGTTTATAAAAGAAAATCTGTTATACTTTTAGACTAATTAGATTTCTGAAAATATTTTTAGTAAAAAATAATTTTCCATTAGGCATTATTTGCAATATTTATACTTTCCAACATTTTTCTATCTTTATATACTACAATTTCATGACCTAAGATATTTGATATGGTTTGCTAAAAACTTCCATGTCCAATTTTAATGTATAATTATGAAGTAGAAGGGTTATTTTAATATACAATGTATGTTAAATCTTAAAAATATACGGTTTATGGAATACTTCAAGGAAAAATATTTATTTTCATTTAATACTAATAATTTTTCTTATACCATGCAATTATGAACTTATTATTCTGATTTGCAGACATGAAATTAGAAATATTCAGGCCCACTTTTTCACTAAAAATATTTTAGTGATAGTATACACTTTTTTCCTATAATTTGCTTTTGAAAAAAAATATTTATACCTTGTTTATCTTAACCTCATAAATGGGAGTGTACATTAAAAAAGATAAAGTTATTAAACCTCTTTGTACATGTTCACGTAATCACTTTGAACATTTTAAGGTTTAATTGTATAGTATGGCATTAAATGCTTTGATCTTGTGTAGTTTCAAATGTGTACATATCTTATTCAAAAAGTGTGTTACAAAAACAATTGTTTTAATTAATGCAGGTTGTTGGCATCAGGTTGTTGGTATCAGATACGGAGTATGTAACATCAGATTTATTTAAATCTTATTCAGTAAAAAGTGTGTTACAAAAAAAATTGTTTTAAGTAGTTGTATTAAATGCAAAGATTTTCTAAAATCCATTAAATCTTTACTTTCTTTTTTCGAAGGATGGGTCATTATTTTATGGAAGCATGCAATATTTTTTTTAAATACTTTCAAGAAGATTTTCAAACATCGAAAGGTATATAATTCAAAATTTAATAACATCATATTCATTTTTTTCAAAATCATGAACGATCCATTCATGAACAATCCATTTAATTTTTTTTCCAAAAACACCATCTTCAAGGATCTGGTTTTCAAATTTATTCTTTTGGAAAAATTCACATCATTACTCCCAAAATTGCATAAATTTACATAAATACTCCGAGATTTAATAAACGACACCCATGCTCCCAGAATTTCCGTATGTTTACATCAATACTCCAACATTGAAATATGTTTGCATCGGTGCCCCGACATTTGGAGCATAGATATAAACATAAATGAATTCTTAGAGCAGCAATGTAAACATATGAAAATTTTGGGAGTATTGATGTCATTAATTAAATCTCAGAGTATTTATATAAAATTGTATAAAATTGCATGTATCCTCGTCCCCTACAAAAAAATCAATGTTCATCATTGTAAATACGGGAATATAGTAAAAGAGAAAAAGAAAAAAATTTACATGTTCGTCATGGAAGATGACTTTCATGGTATCACCTCCTTTTGCCCATGCGGGAACGTGGTAACTTGAGCATCCATGCCGTGAGAGTGTTATAAATTTTGTCAAGGAAATTCCACATCACGGTTTGTGGGTTTTGGGACATTTCGATCACTCATGGCTGTAGTATGTGTTTTGAATGGTGTGTATGCTATAAACAAATTCGAATATATATATATACTTGGGCTTGGAGGCAATTTAAACTATCACATTTAATGTCCATGTACAAGATTTTTTGAATCAATAGATTAAGATATGGATTAGACATAAAGTTAATAAAGCAGATTTATTGAACCGAGATGCTTTAATAAAGTAGATTTATTTGATCGAGGTGCTTTAATAAAGTAAATTTATTGGACCAAGGTGCTTTAATAGAGTAGATTTATTGGACCGAGGTGCTTTCCATCATCTCTAAGCCGACCTATATACCTACATTTACACGTTAATTTAGACAATTGAATTGCTACAGGTTTGGCCCATTAAAGGTAGCCCACTTGGCCCAATAAAAATAGGCGGGAACACTGTTCATAAGGTGTTCTTACCATTGTATATAGGAGGATATATCAATTTGTAAATTATAAAAGATGAGATATTTTACCTCATAAACTCCAATATGTAATTACATTTGGGATGGAGGGAGTAAACCGCTTATGAAAACACCACTAAGGGTCCATTTGGTGAGTTTTGGAGATAAGATTAGATTTGAATTATGAAATTTGAGAGAAATAATACTAGTTTTGAAATTTGAAACAAATTTCTTTGGAGAAATTTAAAATTATGATTTAATTAGTGATAATCGGGAGTGAACAACAACGAGGAAGTTGACAGTGATAATGGTAGCCGGTAACGAAGAATAATCAAGGGAAATTTACTAAAATATTACTAAAGTATAATGACTTTCTCAATATAGCATCACATGTTTTTATTGCCACTGTAGCACTACTGGTCATCTAAGTAAATGTTTACTGTCAATGGACATTGTTCAAACTAAATATCCACTATCACTAAACCTTGATCCCGCAACTAGACATTATTCAAGTACTATTAAGAAAATAAAAAAATTTAAATACTATATTGGAAAACTCATTATACTTTAGTACTCCATTTAATGTAAATTTCATAATTATACGGAGTATATTGATATGTATCATATTCAAAACCCTCCATATGGAATTTGATTTTTTTTTATTTCACCACGGAAAGGAATTCCCCTTCTGAAATACGGAGTATTGGTTTTTTGCCATCAGATTCTTCATCTTTTTTTTTACTACCGGAGTATATAAAAAGAAATACTACAGGATCTCTAGTTCTTATTGATGGAGAAGAGCAGTTCCCCAAATCGCCTTTCTTCCATGAACTCTCATCCTCAGGTACAGTTTTTCTCCTTTGTCTAGCTCGTGCTTCATATTCGCTGCTTAAGCTTCCAACTTCATTCAATATTGTCAAACAAAATATTACGGAGTATGTCTTGTTTCAAGCATCCATATAAATGAAACACAATCAGTAGATTCTTTTAGTTCATGATCAATGAAGTTTCCGATGATCGAAAGTCCGAATCTGATTTTACCATGATTGAATTTGTCATTGGTCCCAACTCTAGTTTTGAAACACTACTCGTCTACTGTACAGCTCTTCAATTAGCCCTATTATTATGAAGGTTTATATGGGGTACCGCTCTACAGATCTTATTTTCACCGTTTCAGAACTGTTTTTCCTTTGCTATTTTTCAAAATTGCGATTTTTATATAATTTTTACCAATAACGGATTGATTCGGCTGTTTTTTTTGTTCTCTAGAAAATATGCTTTTGTCCTTTTTTTTAATATTAAGAGGATCTATTACATTAAGAAATTCTGCCAGTTTTTTATTGCTTTGTCAAAAGAAAATTGAATGCAGAGATGCTTGATTCCCGCCTCGCTGGTGTGAAGTAATGAATTTATACAACTCGTACTTAGTACTTACCCATAGACATTACTTTTCCTTTAAAAACATCTAAGACTTAATATTAAAACAAATCATAAAACAACTGACAGATGCTTTAGCTAGAAAAAACATTGAGATTGTCAAGGCCCAATGCACACTTGCTCACATAAAGTCTACTTTTATCTTTGTTATGTCTTTCTTCAGTCATTATCTGTGTGAAATTTGGCAAAACAAATTGTGTTCTTAGATATAGAATGTATTTTTACTGGTATTTTGGGGGTTTCCTTTCTTTGTGTAAATACAAGACTACAAGCAATTTGATATATATATATGTGTGTGTGTGTGTCTATATATATATATATATATATATGTATATTGCTTAATTAGTATTCTGTAAACTATACAATGGGGTTAATTTTCTTTGTATCAGCATTTGTCTGTAGTAAGTTGGGTTGTTTGCTGATGTATTGCCCTGACATTATTGCTCTTATTGCAGGATTCTGCAGTTGATAGCATTCTGGTTCTTACAGATGATGTTGTGGTATCACTTTCTGCCGTTCAGAGTGCAGTTGGGATAGTGAAGAAGGCAGGCGTTGAAAAGTTGGATCCTTTGATCATCACGCAGGCTTCATCTCAGAGTAGTGATTTCCTCTTTAATTTATTTATACTCTGAAAGTGTGTGTTTATTTCTGCCTCAGGTTTCCAATCAAGATATGCCAATATTGTTTTGTGCTACAAATTGCTACTGTTGATGTATCATCTCTTTGGTAGACTCAAACTTGATGATCACCTTTGTGAGCCACTTCTTGTGCACCAAATACCATTTTCTATTCAAGTATTCACTCAAGTCATTTTAACAAATTTAGCACATGCGGTTGGTAGAAACCAGTTTCAAGTAATAGGATTTAGAAAACAAGAATACGGAACTAATGGATGTAATATAATATAAGCTCTTAAGAAAGAATCTCACCCAAGAGGAGTCCAGTCCTATTAGCCTGGAGAATTTCCCAATAATTCATTTATCCATTCCATATGACTAGAGGTCTATTTATACAAAGTGGCTCTAACTTTCTGTTACTATCAATAACTTATTCTGCCACCTTCCACTAGCTAAGTGGGAACAACTTACTTCAAATCTCCCGCTAAGTAGGATTACAGAATTATTAAATGATAAATAAACAAACTCAACACTTGATTAGATAATGCAATCATTAAAATACTACAATCTTACTTAATTAACCAGCCTCGGACCTATCAATAGTAATTTTAGGCAAACTAGTTACATAATCTATTGAAACTATTATGATACTTTGCACTTAAATTTGTTTTCAGTTCACAATTTGTTATCCTCATGATCTCATGTTCACCTGTTTCAGTCACTATGCTTAAGTTTAGGATATGACATTGTTTCAAATGATTCATATAATTTACAAGTACAATGATTTAATCTTAATGTTGTAGTAAGATAACAACTTAGTAGATTATACTCGATTACTCGGGA